GTTGTTAGTTCACTGTCTGTAGTGAAAGTGGGAAAGTCCAGTGTCTGTGGTTAGTTCACTGTCTGCAGTGAAAGTGGGAAAGTCCAGTGTCAGTGGTTAGTTCACTGTCTGTAGTGAAAGTGGGAAAGTCAGGTCTGTGGTTAGTTCACTGTCTGTAGTGAACGTGGGAAAGTCAGGTCTGTGGTTAGTTCACTGTCTGTAGTGAAAGTGGGAAAGTCCAGTGTCTGTGGTTAGTTCACTGTCTGCAGTGAAAGTGGGAAAGTCAGGTCTGTGGTTAGTTCACTGTCTGCAGTGAAAGTGGGAAAGTCAGGTCTGTGGTTAGTTCACTGTCTGTAGTGAAAGTGGGAAAGTCAGGTCTGTGGTTAGTTCACTGTCTGTAGTGAAAGTGGAAAAGTCCAGTGTCTGTGGTTAGTTCACTGTCTGTAGTGAAAGTGGAAAAGTCCAGTGTCAGTGGTTAGTTCACTGTCTGTAGTGAAAGTGGGAAAGTCCAGTGTCTGTGGTTAGTTCACTGTCTGTAGTGAAAGGGGAAAAGTCCAGCGTCTGTATTCGTTTCTCACTGCCTGTACTAAAAGCAACACAGCTGAATTCTGATCTAAAGTTGGACTGTAGTCATTTCTAAAAGAGAAGAATCCTCCTCATCCGAAGGAGCTCTGTGACCTCAGGATGAAATCATATGAAGCAGATGTCACATTCATTTTCACGCTCTGTAATTCGCCTCCCTGCAGTTTGAGTAAGTGGGTTAATAACACAAATAATTGCCCTAGTTGTGGTAGTAACACCATGTTTGGAGGCACTTAAAAAAACTGGTTCCCGGGAGGAAGCGTCCTGCTGTGCATCATCTCAGTTTTAAGAAGACATCAGTGAAAGAAGAAAACAGCCAAATGTGTCATTAAAGGAGAGATTTCACAGTCAACGAGCACTTCTGCAGCTCAGCTCGGTTGCCCTCTGCTTCTGTATCTCACTGCAATATTTATAACATAATAAAGCAACACACAGTTTAAAATTATGGGTGAAAATATCCTGTTTTTAAATAAATAAATGAGGAAAAACCTCCAAGATTAAATTTCTTCTTGATAAAAAACCTCAATAATTCTTATATTTCTGCAATGCTGGAAAGTTATGAGGAGAAAAAATTATTCAATTTTTAGTAAAAAATTCATTTTTATGAAAGAGGAAAAATAGAGGACTGAGTTTTTTTACACAATAACTTCAGAGTTTAATGTTTTTCTTGCGCTGTAATAAACTTTTGATTTATTTAATGTGGGACATAAAACGACTGTATGCAAGTTAAAAAGACAAAAGAGTCAATATGATTAATTACCAATGCGAATTATTAAAACTTCATTTTGTAATACAGCAAAAAATGATGGAGATTAAAAATGAAAAAAATAAACACATTTTAAATGAGAGTAAAGAAACGAGATAAATAAAAGTTTAATTCTACAACATGAAGGTAAAAAGTCAAAATGATCAGAACTTCGACTTTTGCTCTGAGATCAAATAATTAAAGCTGACGAGGAAATGATGGGAAACTTCATTTACAACAGATTCAGGTCTCCGTGGATCTGACTATAACCTGGAGCACAGCCATGTTTGTCCTGGATTCCTGGAATCCCGCTCCGTAAATTTGACCTCTTAATCTCCAACAGCTGCCAAGATGAACAAATTAAACGGCACAAAGTATCCTCTCATGGACGAGCATGACTCATTTCCTCCCCGCCGACATCGAGGCCATAACCCCACCCACATGCTCTCAATACCTGCTGTTTGGAGGAGCAGCCAATCACTAAAGGGGGTGGAGCCAAAACGTCTCGTTTCAGACAGAGGAAGAAGTGAGGAGCTGCAT